TATATGTAATATCAAAGCAATTGGACTTGCGGTTTTTAACAAGAAGTCGAAAATATCACTTTTTACCAAAAATGACAAAAATATTCACCAAAATTAGAGAATTGAAGATATCAACATGAAATGAACAAGCCTAAGAGAGGTCTACCCAAGGTACATATACACCAAGTATCAAAGCATTCAGGCTTGTAGTTTTCAAGAAGAAGTCGAAAAAGTTAAATATTGACATGGACGACGACGGACAAAGTCGACAGCGGAGCTAAAAAAAGAAGACGGCAAATGTTGAGACACACTTATAAAAGACAAAAAAAAAAAATGTTAACACAGTGTGTATGCGTTGAAACTGATATTGGATTGTTTCTTTTTATTGGAGAGGAAGTAAACACCGATATGAACTTGATAAAACTGAATAGGTTTCACCACTGTCATAAAAATGCAAAAGTTAATTGATTTGTGTGACTGGGAGAGTGTCTTAATGCATGATTGTCCGCTTAGTGGACGTTTCTCAACACAGACTCTTGGCTTTGAGAAACAAGGTAAACTAATTTGTGTCTCATAGCTTAGGTAATACAAACATCTCATGAGTGAAGTATGTGTAAGACAGCACACTGAGCCCATGATTAGTCCCCTGAACAGATCAAAATGTTGCATTTCTCGACAACTGGTCGGCCTCTAGAGTCGGACAGGCTGCAAATGGGTGTTGTCGCCGACTCGGCCACGCTGCACACATAAACTGTGATAACTGCACACACTTCAAGATGAAGGAAAAAATAATCGCTCATGTTTTATCAAAACAGTACATGTCATCACCATGACGACCGGCATCAGTGTGACAAAGATGGATAGGGGACGCTGGGACCTGGCAGCCATCTTTGTTCACTTGCAATCCTCTTATTTTCAGGGCTACGCTGGATACAATCCATTAAAATACAACGCTGACCCTCCCCCCACCTAAAGTCTTGTTGCGATGAAGCACCACAAAGAGCGAAAAATTTGGTTCACTAAATGAAACGGTCATGATGCCTAACGGTGTATCGAATTAAAAAAGTAGAGGGGGTGGGTGACAAATGTAATTAGAATGAAAGCGAGTAATGCAGTTAAGTGGGAAAACAAGCAGTTAAAGGAATCTGACCTCGTGATAATAGCACTGCCAATCAGAGCAACGGCCGCGGGACATAGTCTTGTTTTGTAAAGAGACAAAAACAAAAGGACAGGTTAAACATATTTTGTTGGTACACAAACTGTGTTAGCCTATCTGTAGAAATGAAGCATACTACCGTTGAAAGGGGCCACCCACAACAGACTAACAATAGCGAGGTGTCAACCTCGTCTTTTCAGACCTCATGCTACAATATCCTGGGGGAGCGAATTTGAACACTGGAATGTTGGTTTTAAAAGTAAAAAAAAAATGAAAAAAAAAAGAAAGAAAAATAAGGAATTTACAATAACTCGGTTTTGTATTCAGTTAACTTAATTTCAATGACATGAAATGAAAAAAAACATTTACTCCTGGCATTATATTTATCCGTAGCAACATTTTCAAAGCTCAATGTCGAGTCAAGTACTTGAAACAAACATACAGCTAGTGTTAGTGCTAAATTAAAGACAAGCAGTTCTGATAAATCAGATAGCATTGGTAACTTGAATAATACCTGTCAATCACACCTCTTGCTTCGAACCCTACCCTTTTTAATTGGTTCTGCAAGTTGACCCTAGAATATTTACAGGACAACAGACCCTGGATCTAGAGGGTACAGGGATCAGTCCCCCCCCCTCCCTCCCCCCTGAGCGAAACCTTGGTAATTCGTTACTTTTCAATATTTTTGGATCAGTTATGTAACAAAGGGATTTATCTGAGCTTTAAGTGAAGTGAAGTGAAGAGCAGTTTGGTGGAAAGCTGAAAGAATAACCGCTGAACGCAATGATATTTGAGCCGATTGGGAAGGCAGCTAATTATAGCTCCCTGCTCGTGTCTAAGAGCACCCTGCCGCAGTGAGACAGCAACAGGTGAAATGGACATTTAATCTGTCCCGCTTTAATGGCTTGCAATACATGAAAACTTAATCCTGTTATTGGACAGAGAGTAATGTTCCAGCGCTTGTTTTTTTTATTTCCAGATACAATTTACCCATGGCCGCGAATGCAGCGAAGGGGGATTGCCACCTACTCTGATGGATGAATGTCCTCCCTCCCCAACGAACTCATCTGCAATGCACATGCTAATTTCACATCAATTTCACAACCTCCATTGACAAACACAGGTGCCTTGAAATGCCTAATTACCTAGGTTACGACAAACAAAAGAAGGCATGTACGTGCAGCCGATTTAGCGCTGACAAAAAAAATAAGCAGAACAAAAACACCTCGAAATAGTAGCCTCTTATACCATACGGGAATGAAAAAAAAAATAAGACAGAATCACTTTTCACTAAATCACCCCATAACAATTTGTATTTCGCAGTAGCTCTGGAGTAGGAAAGCTCAATAAAACTCATTTTACGTCACGTTCACAGCATGCCACACACGTACGCGATTGAAAACGCAGACAATATGGTCTGTTTCACAACATGCATGCCTGCATGTAACCCATTTATAGGAAGACTTAGTTAAAAAAAAGAAGCCTTATAGCAGTTATAGCTCAAACTGAACCTACGTAATCAATGTTGATGTCTAACAAGGTGTTCCCCCTAAACAACAAGCTGCCATTCCATATTGACAGTAGTTGTTTACAGGGTCACTTTGAAATGCTTTGGTACACACAATTTAACAGACTTCAACGGGTCCATATCTGTAGTAGGTAAACTGGAGTGATTTAGGGCATTGATCAGTTTGTACACTCTCTCAACTCTAGCAATCCCCTCTGGGGAATTGAAAATAAATGGTTAGAAACGTCGCAATAGCAAAGCAGGCAGTTGAGGCAAAATAAAAAGGCTTGTTCTATGTGGGTAACTAGACCACGCAGACATTTTAGCATGATCGGAAAGATTTATTACTTTTCAAACCGATCGGAAAACAACAATGTTTACTCTCGACCAAGTATCACACGTTTTTAAATATTTGACGATCCACCTGAACTTACTGACCTCCAAAAATCCATCGTACTTCACATGGCTTTAAAATATACTATCAATATGGAGAATAGAAAAAAAAAAAATACACCCAGCCATAGACGAATTTATTCAGCTCGGTTGCGAGTAGACTTAACATAAACATTGAAGAGTCCGTCTAAGTTTGACTAAGACTCGTAGGCAAGTTTGACTACGATTTGCAGATAAAGATGTGGACAGAGAACACAATCCATGTATATTCAAACACAGACTGCAAATTTACAACAATCGCTCTGGTAAACATTTACCACGAGCTCACATGCGATGATAAATTAACCACCAATAGAAGTCAATTTACGAGGATAACCCGATTTTTTAGTCAGTCGTACCATGGTGTGAGGCATTGATGTAGGGTAGTTTTAGGAGCGAACGGATTACAAATGAAATGATTTGTGTGTCTACAAGCTCAGTAACACGAAATTGTTAATTCTATGGTGTACCAGCAAACAGCCCCCTCACAGGTCAGGAAATAAAACTTTCTAAATGTTACCAATAGGTGGCGCTATGACAACCATTCCGCATCAACCACCTGTTGGAGTCCACTTACCCGCAATGCCATCTCATTATTGTTTTTGGAAGACGTTCCTTCACTGGTTTTTCGCAGAAAAGCAAGCTCCTGTTCAAGTTTCCGACACTGAAAAAAACAAAGAGAAATAAACGCATATTTTTAAAAACATGATCATTAGGTTTTTCATCACTCGGTGGCAGCATAAAATCCGAATTTCCAAGAACTGTGCAAAACAGGATGACTACATCAAATATATACATAGAAAGAATTTTAACAAACCACATATTCTTAAGACATCTAGTAATATTAACAGAATCAAGATAAAAAAATGTTGCTACATTGTTTCGTTTCTATCACAGTACCCCCCCCCCCCCCACACACACACAGTGGTAAAAAATTTACTGAGTTCTAGAAGCTACCAAAACTTGTAGCCCTTTCAATGATACACATCAAAATATTTCATAGCTATGAGGAGAATGTTCATTCAGGGTGAACTACTGGGATGACGAACATGTTTGGCAGGCTTAATCGTAGTAATCCGGCAGCAATGATGACTTCAGGATGTCTGGAGATCGTTATCAGATTGGATGCCTGACTCATGCAATTGTCAAGAGGGTGACGCATGCCGGTTGCTGAACGTGGGATGGGCATAAGGGTGGTTGTTCATTCCGTAATTGCAAATAAACAAAAGGCTTGCGTTTATTTAAAAATGACATATATATACATTTTTTTTATATATACACATGTGACTTGTATAGCAACAATCAAAGTTCATCATAAAGACCTCTATTGCTTACATCACATGCGTACTGTAGGCAAATCAGCTGACAGCGTTGTTGTTCAGCACAGGTTTGCATGAAAACTTTGACAAGTTGTGTCACATGATCAGGTGCAATATGTTTTTTTTTCAACAATTATGAATGAACAACGTTGAATTACTAGACATTTTCACACAAATAAAAACATTAACACTATGTCTTTTTCACGAGCATGTCTTTTTAGCGAATTTAGCGAAAGAACTAATTTAAAATGTCGCTAATAACTTCATTATAAATTCAAAATGGTGGCCAAACAACGTCTTTTTCTCCACACACACACTTTGTAAACAACACAGAAAACGTAATAATCAGGAGCGCCTCCTTATTACACTTGACAGTTTTTCTTTGTTTTTATGGAGGTGATAACTGCGCATTTGTTTTGGCAGGCGACAGACAAGTATTGTGAAAACAGGAAATCAACAAAGACAAGAGAGATTATCTAAATCAATATTTCGCTAATACGTCATTTTTACCACAATTTGCTAAAATAGTATGTCGCTTTTTCGACATGTTTTACAGTAGTTGGGGTTTAACAAGAGCTTTATGTGTTGCACTTTGTGTTCGTATTTGATCTGTTCCACGTGTTTCATGCACAAGTTGATCACAGAGGTGCGTCTGAGGTCAAAATAATTCGTAATATAATGATCTAGCAAATAAAAAGTTAGTTTATACCCACTTCTATTAATTGGGGATGCAACTTCTAATGGAGCAAATGTGGTATGTCAGTTCAGATATCGTAATTTTGACAATTGCTATTCAGCAGTAGCCACTAATGAAGAATATGTTTATAGATAAGAAAGTTAGAAGTAAAAAAAAAACAGTTGAGGTGACTATATCAAGTTATACCTTAGCCAAAGCGACATCTCTCTCATCTAAAATTGCTCTCATCTCTTCAGACGTGATGCGTCTCTTTCTGTCTCGAGTTAGTTCAATTTTACTCATGATGACATGGCCGTACTTATCGACGTCCTCACTGCCCTCTGCCTTGGTAAGTCTGCACAATAATTCACTTAAACTCTGTAAAAATAATAAGTCAAGATTATATATAAATGTATGATCTATATTTAGTGTGTAGGTTCAGAGTGAGGGTTAATGCCACTACAGGCGTGTCTACACCCGGTAATTCCATGAATGACAAAGCCTTGCAAGATATAATGCAGATATAGTGCAAGGATTCTTGCATAATATCTACACAACACATGATGTGTTTACCAATAAATGATGGTGAAACGATAATAAACAACAATATGGCAGACAAACGTGATATACTGTACTTCCCCGGTCATAAGACACCCAGCCCCACCCTTTTATTTTTTGCCATTTAATGAGTTGAAGACTTCCTTGGTTCTGTGTTCTGATATTACTCACGATGAACCCAATGTTGCAATACTTAAGTAATCTCTCTCTAACGACTGGAAGCAGGTAGCTTGTGAAACAGTCAAGCCATGAAACCTGATCATTGTTTTTTCTTTTCCAAATAGCGTCCGTGAATGGTGTGAGTTAAACTACATGTACCATGAATGGAGTGTGAATGGATAAATATGCTTTAAGGTGAACTTGTTGATGCTGTGACAGGTGTTAAACACTTCCTGCACACTCAATTGTGAATCGCCATTTTTTGTTTTTTAAAATGTTATCATTTTTTTCATCAAAATCAGTGCTAATAGAACATATTTTAATATCATGGTAATTCACTTTCGCACTTCGTTAAAAAATGCTCATTGTATATTTCCAGAGAAAGAATCAGTACGACAAAGTATTTTGATTGGTTAATAGCGGACTTGACCCAGAGGAAGTAATGCTTTCTGCAATACGTTCTAATATAAACAAAAAATGAAGAGAAATATCTACCGTATCCACAGGATTCAGGTCTTCGTCTTTGGAATGTATTTCAGTGAAAGAATCAGTAGCGTCTCTAGCTTCCTCAAGTCTCCTCAGCCTCAATATGGCTTCATCTCTCTCCTCATTTGCCAGCCGTAACCTGGCCATCACCGCCTCCTCCCTCACTTTAGCTGCTCTGTACAGTTCCTCGATTAGGGCTGCAGGTAAAAATGACATTGACATTATAGCCAGAATATTTCCAACAAATCCTACACCTATTTATTACAGTCCAAAAAAAAAAATCACTAACAGACTAGAAACATGAAATACCATGTCTCTAATTGCTGTTCCTTTAAAAGTACAAACAAGTTATAGGGACATAAAATGTATACATAGATTTATTGCATACAATAAACAAAAGAATAGATTACATCTATCTGAGAGGGCGCTATACACACTTGTCAAAGTAAAATTGACATACCTGCACTTTTAGCATTTATCTCAGCTTCATTGGAAACCTCTGACAAACTCTTAGCAATCTTCAAGCTTTGGATCTCTTTTTCAGCTTCCATCAATTGTTCTGAGAGCTGTAGAAAAATCAGATTTATCTGTTAAATTAAGATGCATATATTTGATGCTTATTTATATTTCGACATGCAAATATCAGGGAGGGACAAAGATGATATTTAGAAAACTTTGCACAAAAGATATAAAAGGGTTATAATCATTTTAGTTATAAGTATCAGCAATGTATAGACACAGTGCCTGTTGAATTCCGTTGTTTTTTCCCATGGTGCAACATTTTACACATTTTAATGAATTTTTCTATAATTTCCTTGTTAATTTTGGATCAAATGGACATAATTTTCCATTACTTACAGAATTTGATCAAAAATTTTGAAGAAACAACTGGGAGGAAAAAAATGGGTGTATTTTGTGAATGACAACACAGTTGACTTAGGCACTCAACAGCTTTGAAACAAGGCAAACAAAATGTTAGTGGGGTTACATAAATGACACAGACTGAAATGTGTTACAGAACAAGTAAATTAGATTACTGTCAAAACAAAATTGTTTCTCATTATAGGAGAAATGTCTGTTTCAGTTAAGGACACCTTTACCTTTCTATTGAGTTCTTTAGCAGCATCTAGCTCCTCCACCAGGAACGGTAGTGTGGTCTCCAAATCTGACACCTGAATAACATTTACACTTGGGGTGGACTTTTCGTGAGGTTTTTCGGGAGAACATTCAGCAGTGGCTGGGGACTTCTGAGTGCTTTCCATTGGTCCACCTTGAGGTCTGAACTCCCCTTCTGGGAAGCTTCTGTTGGGAGACTGGTTTTGCCACGTTCGGGAATCGTGCATGTGGCTCACCTCCGGTGGACTATGAAACGGACCAGGGATTGTTTGATGCATGGGACCTCCTCTATTATAGTAATGCTTGGGGTAGTAGAAAACAGGAGCTGGCATGGGCATGAGGTACCGGCTATCTCGTGGATCATCACAGCTGTGTCGGCGGTGACGGCGCCCACTATGGTGACCTTTCCGTCGACTTCGGTGACCATGACTTTTCGGAGTTTCTTCGCTTGAGTAAAATTCACCATCAGTAAAACTGTAGTCACTTGTATAGCTGCTGGCTTCATCATCTGTGGGAAAAAAAAAATTATTTCAAAGAACTCAGATAATATACAAAAGTGATAAAACACGGTTCACTAGACTGAAAATATTTATATTTGTTAACAATGACAATAATGATTAGGACAGAATTTGTTCAACTAGATTAAAATACTTTATTTTAGCTGGAATTAATTTTCACCAGAAAGACATCTAGGGTGTTTTTATGTATTTGAAGAAAATAAAATTGTGAAATGGGTTCAGTCACTATTGACTTCCTAAACACTTAATACAATGAAGAAATAGAAATGGTCAAAAAAATATATTATTAAAAAAATATTCATATATTTATGTATTTATATTATTATGGAAATAAAAAAAAAATTATCAGTGTCTGTGGGAAAACAGTCAAAGTTGAAATCTTCGTCATTATCTTCATTGTCTAATGTGTTTGATCACGTGCAAATTCATGATGAAAAGCATGATATTTTTTGCATAATTTGACTGCAACAATGTACCAGTACTTTGACCTGATAGGTCAAGTGTGTTATTGTCTGATGAATCTGTATTGTACCAACGCAATCCTCCACAAATTCTCAATGGCTTTCTGGGTAACGTCACATAGAAAATGAATGATCAATATCAGAGTACGATCGATCTGTTGGAGCTGATTTCGGCAAAAAAAAAAAGACAAACATTTTTTTCCACACCATATTTATGGCAATCATATCCACAATGTTTAATGATTAGACAGTCAAATTTGGGATATTTGAGAAGAGATGTAATGGCCCAAAAGTAAGGGGTTGGGGGTTAATTGAACTAGTACAGTAACCTATGTTTAACCTTATTACTTTAAACTATAGTCCACAACATTCAGACTCTATCAGAGCAGAGATATTTCTGCTAAAAATGTATCATACTGTAGAATACTTTATTTTCGCTTGGAATTTATTTTCGCTATTTTCGCTGAAGGGATGATTCCGTGAAAATAAAATCCAGCGAATATACTTTTTTTCCTATATTTCCCATTAAACTCATCAAAAATCAGTGAAAATAAATTCCATACAAAATGCCAAAAAAGTATTTTCAGTGAAAATTAATTCCAGCGAAAATAAAGTATTCCACAGTATACTATACCTCTGGAATGTTTTTTTCTATCATCTGAATGAGATCTTTTATTTCTACTACTACCGACTCCATCCCTGTGAACAGCAGCTTGCTCGGCTCCATCTAATGACGCCAGATCATCTTCCTCCGATGGTGATGGGGTTGGATGTTGTCTGTATGACTGACCTGATTTCCTGTTCTCTGTAGGACAATCAGAGATAACTGTTATATTCGGGGATATGATTTCACAGTATGTCGGAATCACAGAGTCATGTTGGTAATGCAATAAGGAAGGAAGGAAAGATTGGTCACACTAACAGCCTTTCCAGCACACTCACTTAATCTAAACCCAACCATTGTATTTCATCTAAATGACATAAACAATTATTTACACCCTTTAAAAGTACCCCCTTGTGCAACAGGTAAACATTTACATTATACATTGGTAACAATTTCAAATACATGTGTGCTCAATGCAACTGTTTTACACAATCAAGCTGCACTATTTATGACATTATTTTGGTTTGTGATTTTAACTGAAATTTAGCTGAAAACCACAAACATGTAACATCAAATGATCTGTCATAAATTATACAAATCTCTGTGGTTTTTTTATTTGTATTTTCCTTCTTGATTTACTTACGCTGTAGGAAAAATATCGAAAATATATTCAAAGAGAAATTGTAAAGCACTGAGCAATATAACATTAGCTTTGGTAAGTTTATATTTTTAAGAAGTTTATTAATATTAAAACAAACTGTGATCATTTCATTTATATGTAAATGAACAACTGTGACTGATGGAAGCTGGGTAGAGACAAGTACTGCAGAAGCCTCAATTCAATGAAAACAGAATTTGGGTGAACATGCAAGATGTATTCACTGGTGACTGATTCAGTTGTGCGTGATGAATACAGAAAAAATTCCAAGTGAGCATCGAGGGTAAAATTATTTGGTAGTTCAGAGACAGGTCATGACACTAAACCTACGGATCATAAAGAGAGCTTAAACTATTATTTGTAAACTCCTGTGGTCACAAAATAATGCCAGTTAACAGATCAAGTGAAAGTAAGCACACACCAGCTGTGTTCAAGTACTAATTAAATTACGAAGAACTGAACTGAGTAACATTACACGGAAGCTGGCAAAATGGAAATATGTACTACGTAAACATTCACTCACACTACCAAAAGACAAACATTAAAGAGACAATTTAATTTTATAAATTTAATAGCGCAGTACATCTCCGACTACATCCGCATAATTTTTATACAATCATCACCGATAGCGAGGACTGAAGTATATTTCATAGAAATTAACACAACAATGTTAATTGACAGTATTTTAGAGGTCATGGAAACTACATTCAAACATATCTATATTGGCCACCAGGGGAACATTTTGGCCTTTAAAAAAAGTTGGCCTAGAAATGGACACTAATTTATTCATGAATATTAATCAGACCATGGACCCTAATGTGTATGATTAGACGGTGCAATGTACATCTCTCAATTAGTTCACACTCATATGATGCACAAAGTGTCCAATACATTTTGAGAATCTGAAAATTATTTTTATTTCAGTAAAATGATACATGTGTTTTTTTTCATATATCCTTCTACTAGTTTTAATCATACATTCAATACAGTTTTTTTTTGCAAATTCTTCCAACATAACAGTGGTGCATCTCTACTGACTTATTCAGTATATAAATATGTGCTGAAAGCGGGCCAAAACAAATTGAAAACTATTGGTTATGATCTGGAGTCAGTTGAATAATTTTGATACAACCATGCCATAATGCATGTGAAAGGCTCAATTAGCATAATGTCTATTATGGGATGTGTAAACAACAACATCGCCTCTTCAAACTATTGCGACTGATCATTGTTGGATTATCGGTCAAAGTGGTTTACGTTCACGCAAATTATTATGGTATTAATTGTATGATTTTGATTCTGTTTACTGTAGAATACTTTATTTTCGCTTGGAATTTATTTTCGCTATTTTCGCTGAAGGGATGATTCAGTGAAAATAAAATCCAGCGAATATACTTTTTTTCCTATGTTTCACATTAAATTTATCAAAAATCAGTGAAAATAAATTCCATACAAAACGCCCTAAAAGCCTTTTCAGCGAAAATTAATTCCAGCGAAAATATTCCACAGTATTTAATTTTTTTAACATGTAACTTATAGGTTAACTTTCATACATAAAAGTCTACCAGCATTCACAGGAATCTGATCTATTTATAAGTCAACATAAGTAGATTAAAACATGGCACAGACCATGAGTGGAAGTAAATGTTTGTGTGGATGTAAAACCATTGAATCAAGAAATCTTATATTAAAACCATTAAGACTATTTTGTACCTAAAATGGCACATATTTCCTGTATTAAAAAGCACTATTAAAAATTGTTTTCATACAGGAAAAAACTGCACCTGGATAACAATTTTATTTGCTTGTCATTGAAAAAAATATAATTTCCATAAAAAATTAAATTTTCATTACATTTGAAGGACATGCTCAAGTCTTGGTTGAAACTGTCAATGAACTGATTAATTCAGCAAAACAAAACAGAAAAATGTTTGTTCCACTGTGACAAACTTGTTTACATAGTAATAGATTATGTTAATTAGATACATAGTAATCATTGTGATGGTAGTTTTAATTGTATTGTTTGTTATTGTAATTACAGAACCTTTTTCTGTTATTGGGACATCGTGTGAATAAAAGTTCATTTGATACTACTACATAGCAGGAATCTGCCCGCGCTGGTCAGCGTCGGTTGTTAGCGACCAGCACTCAGAATATCCAACCAGGACAAAAAGTTGGCGACTGGCACTATTCTGTTTGTTTATGATACACACAGGATGTCGGCCACTGGACCATCATTCTATTGTCCTTGTTGGTTTCAACCAAAGACCCTAATAAAAGGTCTATGTTTTAACATACAACAACACAATGAAAAAAATTAACACACAACAAAACCTGAAAGAAGACACCGCTGTTCAAAATCAACGTACACGTGTGACATCGGCCTAATGTGTTTTTGTTTTAACCTTCTCCGATTGACATTCTGTTAGTTTTAACAAACGAACCAGATCGGAATAAGTCGTACATCAAGATAATGGAAGGGAAGACAATGATAAATAAACAGAAGAAAGGATTCCCATTGCAAGTTTAGTTGTGTGTAGGATTTGTTGAGTTGAACAATAACTTGTGATGCATCAAGCTGTCGTTCGTTTAATCTGCACTTGCACTCGAGTGTAGTAACCTTCATTGATGTTTTTGGCTTCATGACTCGTTCATAAAATTAAATTCATCAGATATATTCAGTCAGCGATACAAGGAATACTTATTTTTCACTATTAATGTGATTTACCAGCATTCCACCGGAAAAGAAAACAATTAAATTCTTGTTTCCACTTTGGCTGTAACAAACGGACGACATGCTTTGAAAAAAATGCCTGCCAGGTCAGAAGTCAATATCTCAAAATATGTATTTTAGGCGTGATTGCGAAAATAAAGTGTATATATTTTTTCACTTTTATCAATTCAGATTAATTTTACATTGAAATATTTAAAATAATTAAAGTAGTTAAATCGTAGCTAGTAGAATGGAAAAATGAATATTAATTAGCTCATGAATATTAATAAGCGACCGGCACTCAAATCAGGCTGGGCAGAACCCTGATGATCATTTATCATCATCAATCAGAAGCCTTTTATGCACAATTTAACAAATAAAGAAATAAGGGATCGATGCAAGTCATGAAACACCAAAAACCGAAACCAAGTAATGGGTAAAAGTAATTTGCATGCAGAGAGAAAAGTGAAGAACAGTGACGCTTAACAAAAACTGAAAATTAAAAGGAATAAGGATAAGGTTCAGTCGCAGAGATTTTTTTTAAATTTACGGAAAGTACGAGAGCTATCGTCAGTTTGTGCCGAGAACATGATGGGAGCAGGTGTTAAACGTACAGGGCACACCACTGCAAGCAGTCGCAGGGTAGATTTTAGTGATCGAGTCCTTACCCCTCATTACTCGCCGACGGGATGCGGGTGCTAGCCTTTGTTTCAGTTCTTCATTGACTGACGGATCAGAGCCTGCATATAGATCAACAAATTTACCTGATGTATCCAGTTGTCTCTTCTCGGCTGCCCTTCGCATAGCGGTCTCTCTGCGCAGGTTCCTGTCCCTGTAACATTAAAAATGCGAGTAAATCAACATAAATAAGGTTTTCCCCCATTTATATAATGGTTACACAATGTGTATAACGATTGGTAAAAATGAGAATATTTCAATGTCATAAATCCAGTATGGTAACATTGAGAATGGACTTGAGTCATTTGACCTCTCTTCGTATGAATGTCAGCTGACTTTTATTTGGTCAAGATATGTATAGACAAAATGTATCAAAATACAACCATCCAATGCACAACTCTTTTGAAACATGTATATAATTTTTTAATCAATGTTTGACTGTTTTACTTTAAGTAAGCGCAACTTACAAATAAATTAAAAACCAATAATAATGGTAATATTGAGAAATGTACACATTGAGCAAAGTCTTCCATAATACAATCTAAGTGCATGTTTTTTTAGCTTTATACTGTAGTCGCAAATTGTATTGCAGATATAGAATGAATGAATGAATAAATGAATGAATGAATACAGTGAATTTCATAACATGAATTTTTTTATAAATAAATATATATAATATTTCATAAATTTCAAATGATAGTCAATGAAACATGATGCATGACAGTAAATCAGTCAATGATTGAAAGAAACCCACAAAGATTCATGGGAAATTTGCATTACTAAATAAATAAATAGTGGTTTTGCAAAAAAACAAGACTACCAGTAATATGCAAATTATGTCACTACAGTAATAATTAAAAGCACAAAATGAATAAAAAATTCAAATTAAATTTATGTGGTAAGATTACTTTTTGAGATTATCGATAAATTGATACAAATTATTGTTTTAATAATGGATATATTGTTGGAACAAAAAAAAATATTATTTTAGAACTCCACCCATTTCATCCAGTACGACTATATATTTATTATTTCGGTGAGTCATCCCACAATGTTAGATTTTGAACAATCCATATATTTAATTAAATTTTTTTCTTTTTTTTTTTCTAAATAAAGAATCACCATAGTGTCACAGGACAATTCCGGTGATACAATAACGAGAAGCACGGAGCAACGGCAAAGAATGTCAATTCTGTTTTGTTCGAATTTTTAAAGGGCTGGCCATAATGCGTTGGCTGGTGTGCATGCAACCAGTGTCATTTTTAACGACTTGTACCCTAGGTAATAAAGTTTATGTTTCTCGTGAGCTGGGTGATATTTCTACAATTAAAGCTAATTCACGAAGACACAAGCAAGGATTACGAAATTCATGCAGCCGCCCTACTACTATATACAGCAACACACCACACAGAAGCCACAGACAGGGATGTAAACAAACACCGCCACGCACGACTTGCGGCAAGCACACCGAAAAATAACAACACCCAAAACGTACCTTTCCTGTCGTTCCCTTTGAAGATAGGAATCAAAGGAATGCGAGAGGGAAGGAAGAAGATACAACAGGGTTAAGCAGGATATCATGAAAAAAGTTGCATTAAATCACTAGTGCAAAGAATTAGCTCAAGTGCAAGTCCGAAAAAAGCTAGCATAATAAAAAAAAATGCATCAGCCCCACTACGACCGATAATTGCGACCTTACTTTGACTCCAAACGTTGCCTCAGATCGGCGATTGTCTCTTTGGTTTCACCCACTTTCGCGTGTATCTTGTCAAACTTCCTCTGCACCGCTGGCGTCAATTTATCTGATCGGGCACTTCTTCGCGGAGATCGGCTTTTTAAAATGTGCGGAGACAGGGTATCCGCGACCAGCCCAGTTGGCGTCTGTTTCTCCGCCATCTTGCCGAGATCAATTGGTGTGTTCTGCTATGGAATTGTGGGTAATCACTTTAGTACAAAAGGCATTTAAAAAACATAACCGGTAACATACAATTTAGCTGGAATTGTGTAAACGGAATTAAATAATGTAAAACGTTTAGATATTCGGAGGAGGTAATTAAACTACCCGAATATACATTATCTAGCTCAGAGAATTTATTGCAAATAACACTTCCGGAAAAGAGCGCCTGAATTGACCCTTGACCCAATAATGGGGGTATGATGACTGATGCTGTTTGGCGAACGTAAAACATCAAACGGGAAAAATGTATTTTGACAATGAAGTTTGAACGATAAAACTAATTACTGAAATTAAACAAAAAAAATCCATAAGGAATCAACATCTGAACAGTTAATAATGACTTCATTAACATTGTTTTTCTTTGTTCTTGTGAAACTTTACTTCGATGTTGACAATACTGGTATTTTGACAATACTGGTAAACATTAGTTGGAAGCATTGTTTAATTTTCTCTCAGCCTCCTAAGCTAGAAGCCAGGAAACAGTCCCTGAAATACCTCGTACAACCTACGCACTCATTAATATCTATAACAGGTGGGAAAGATATTCATGAGCGTTCAGTAGCAAAACAAAATACGCAGACATAATTGTTTCACAACGAAAAAAACATAAAAAAAACAGTAAGGCAAGGCATGCTGGGGAAAGAAATAGTCACTGCTGTCTCTTGTTTTTTCAGTACGTGTTTTTCCAAAAATATAATCTTTCCCCATCCAATCAATAAATACACAAATACCGCAACGACAACAAAACAAATTTACAAAGTCCCATACATACTTCCGTATGGCAAGCCAGATAGGCCAAAAACATTTTTTTTTAACACATACATTTTTTTTAAATTTTCTATTTTTTTTATTTTCTACGATTTTTGAAAATTTTCTATGATTTTTTTTTCATTTTCTTGAAAAAAAATTAGCTTTTTTTCAATTGTCCCCTAAATATTTTCTCGTTTGATATTTTTTTTTGTTACTTTTTTCCGACAATGTATTACTGTGATATTTTTAGTTTTGTTTCGCTTTTTAGTAAAAGTTGCTTGAACAACTATGTACAATTCGGATACGTAAGCACTGTCTAAAAATGGACGTCACACATTTTCTGGAACCCCAGTTGAGTGCAGAATCTGAGTACAATGTAATACATATTAAATTGAAGACAAACTGCTTTTCATTGTGTCATTCTCATTCAACAATCAACAAAGATGTGTTATTTGAAGAAATAACCAAACACAATAGCAATTTTACCAATATTTTGCCGGATGAAAAAAACAAAATTGAAGAGTGAAGCTGTTTAGCTATCCCAGTAGCAATCTGATTGAAATCCAATGTAGATATAGGCCCCGAATCCTTTATTTTTATTTTTATATATTTTATTTTTATTTTTTGTTTATTTATGAATATGTTTTGGTTTTACTCGCCGTTATTATGTTTTGTTTATATATATATATCGTATCTTGGTCGCCGTAAGATACGATATATATATAAAAAATAACAATAACAAATATCATAATTAAAAAAAAACGGAGGCAATATCTACATCTGATTTTAAACAGATTGTCCCAGTAGCAGACTTTATACAAAACTTCTTTAGTGCGAAACCTCAACTACAACACAAGTGATTATTTTCCCTCTATTGTTACTCTATGATTGTTTGTGTGTTTTTTTTTTTATCATTTTTCCCTTTACATTTATTTTTGCTTTGTAATTTATGTAAGCTCAATTTTTGAAATAATTTATTTTGGGGAATAAAAGGTCATATAGCGCAAACAACACAACGTGAAAAACATTTTTCTCTCTGCCTGTCCATGAGCATGAAATACACCAAACTATAACATTTTGCACTGAAATACTTAATTGTGCATAAAAGTATGTTCATTGCATTATGTGTTATAATATTATTATAGAAGTTTACGTTGAATGGTCGATGGATGAAAGGCGTAGCCACTCGTAATTTTGGAGTTTATGCGCAATTTACTAGAGAATAACCATGATGCTCTGCTTCATTTTATAATTTGCCTATTAGAAAAGTTATAATAAAACTATTTTTAATGTAGAATATATGAGTTATTTTGGGGGTTTTGCAGCACGGAGCTCCATTTGTGAAGCTCGCTGACATGGCAGTGAATGACATGTTTGTTTGTTCCCGGTATTATAATGATGGACATCGCGCAAATATCAAGCACTCTGCGTTGCAATCATAGTTACCTCGGTCGGAACACTTTTTATTACCCAGCATGCATCAGTCGCAATGTCAAAAAGTGAGTCGTACGCCCATGGTCTGTGTTGTCCTGCACTAAGGCACTCTGTGAATGTGGTATTTCTAGAGGCCAGGGTTCGTCTCACTTATATCGGCCTTATCGTCTTCAGCTGGATAAAACCTGCTTCGATTTACAGTAGTGACTTTATGTATTTGATAATTTGCGTCGCCAGTGATTGAGTAGAAAAAAACTGCAAATAGCCGTTAGGTAAATCGAAATAGATCTCCATGACGTACGTTGCGTTGTCGCGTTATAGTGTTGCCGCTAATATCCGAATATGCACTCGTACATTACAGCATATACCTTAGAAAAAGTCTATGATTAGAGGAGCCGCATTCCTGAAAGTCACGGTAAATTGCTTTCTAGTACTTTCCCAGGTCAGTGTTGTGTCAATAAATATTATCCTATTCTTATGTTTTACCCTTTGTTTATTAGTTTGTGGCGTCTAAAGACGAGAATTCAGTAAAAGGGCCGGTGTTTCTTACAATTTTTCGTCAAATTTTGCGGTATCTTTAAAAACTATCAAAAGGTAGCAATACATACAAATTTGTGGCTTGTAATGTTGAAGAAAAAAACGGCAAAAGTTTTTTTGTGAAAAGGTGACCTTGAGTTTGTTTATGTTTGGCCTTAGGCTTCAATGATGACGTCACATATTTAAACAAAAAATGCTTAATCAGTAATGTCTATCCACAGCCCCTATATCTCCCCAGTCGGGAACGCTTCACATGGAAACGCTTGACAATCAGCTGGATTAGCGGGACAGCGCTTGTAATGGCAATCCGCGACGTGTGGTGACATGTGGGTCGGGTTATACCATGAAGGTAAAATGGATTTTTTAGCTCCATGGTCATACGGTCACAATGGTTTGGTCGAGATTTGAAAGTTTGTGGCAAGAATGAAACCAATTTTACGATTAAGTTTCAATTATTTCACATTTTGAAAGTACGCTATTCTGCGTAATGTTTCTCCCTGCTAACTATGGGCTATTTCTTTTCAATACGTTCAAACACAGCCCCTCTATCTAACTTCTGTATTTTTTTAAGTTAATATTGATATTATACTTCATAAAATAAAGTTAAAGTCAAGAATAATTTCGTCCTTTTCATTTCGTACTTTGTCCATTACAAGTTTCTACAACGGACGCATAAATGTAGCGCACAATTTCTGCCAAATTACGAGAGAATGGCGTAACTCGGTTATGCAAATTGTGTTTGGTGGTTAGAAAAACCCGTTTCGGAATTGGCATTTTAGATTACTAAATCGACAAATAACTTCTGTGTGTGTTTCTTGATTTTGGCATAGACCTCTCTTTCTAAGGTCTATGATTTTGGTACGGCTGATCATGGAACTATAGTTTATAGTTCCATGGGCTGATGAAACCTACGCATGCGCACTGATACTGGAGTCTGTATGCACGCTTATGTTGGGTCACGTCACATATGGTATAACTTCCGAAATACTTATCGTCGAAAGGTGTCAAAAGTTGATTTACCCGCTGCGAGCGTCGGTACAGCAGATTGCATTTCGTCTCCAGATTGGGGATAGAGGAATTGTGGTCTTTCTGTAACGGTAACCAAGTTATGAGGTTATCCCTTGATCTCATGGTCACGTTACCCTATTTATACAATTTGCGGCATGTATTTATAGAAGCTAAGATTTTGGATTGAACAACGATGACAGCGAACAAGGCTAGAGAGGCTGCTCAACAGATGACTGCAGGAGCACTTACCGGTAAGCACGACTCAATGCATGCCACTTTTCGGACGGTCACATTTTTTGGACCGGCACTTTAATGGCCAATAAAACCGCTTCTTACGACGAGATATATCGGAATATCACGGGCGACCGCGGCAATCATAGACCTCCTTTCAGGGGGTCTATGTCGCAATCAACTGAATATCAGCCTTTTTCCGAATGTGTTATACTGCTGCCGTTTACGAGACTTTGAATTGCTATATGCACTCGCAGAGTTAAGAACAAAATGCTAAACAGTCGACCATTCTTTCTTACTTAGCGAAAATAATTTACAGGAAGCCGGTTAAGGGGCCGACCATTCGATATATGAGGGGGTCAGTTGGGCACATGACATTTAAAAAATGCCGTGCCTTGGTGTTTGTTTTTTTTTGGAGTGATAGTCACATTTCTTTTTTATCTTACATCTTCTTACATTTTTATGTTTTGTTTATCACAACTAATTATTGTAACTAGTCCATAATTATGTTACTCTCGGTGTATATACGCATCTATTGATATAAAACATGTTATTAAGGCGCATTTGATATACTGGTATTTACAGTGTCCACTCCTTGATGGGAGATCACGTGTGGCCAACGATAAACTATCGATGCCCCACGATATGTTGACCTATAAACGTATGTCATTTTGCATAACAATGTCCGTACTTTGTTGACCCGTCGAGCTGGTATTGTATGCATTACTTGCTGTACAATGAAGTGAAAACAAACAGGCTCGGCTCTAGTAATTATCTGTTCAGTTTTTTAGCTCCGCTGTCGACTTTGTCGAGCGGAGCTTATCATATGAGTGATTGTCCGTCGTCGTCCGTCGTCCGTGTCAATGTTTTACTTTTTCGACTTCTTCTTGAAAACTACAAGCCTGAATGCTTTGATACTTGGTGTATATGTACCTTGACCTTGGGTAGACCATGGAGCTAAAATCTTATTTTAGCTCCATGGGTAGACCTCTCTCAGATTAGTTCATTTCATAATGATATCTTCAATTCTCTAATTTTGGTGAATTTTTTTGTAATTTTTGGTAAAAAGTGATATTTTCCACATCTTGTTGAAAACTGCAAGTCTGATTGTTTTGATACTATACATATTGTTTATTTTTTAATGATACTTTCTGTTCTTTAATTGAAATGTGCATTGCTAACAGCGGAGCTATCTCAGCCGAGAGGCTGCTTGTTTTACTTAGTACCTCCATAGTACTGCGAACTATAGCATGTTTCACGTCAAAAGTGTGACAGATCTCAACTTGTTTTTCCTCGGAGTTTACTTCTGTTTTCACGTAGCAGACCTCGGCGAAGACGTAGTTTGTACATTGGAACACGGTTACTAGAAGAATTTTGTGCCATAAATCGTCTTCGATTTCGTGAATAGCGGGGAGATTTAGTAAAAACGAATAGTTCAATTTGATTTGACATATGGGTCGTTTTGAACTGTTATACGCAAAATCGGCGACAGTGGCGAAATTTTCTTTTTCGGATTATTGTCCACAAATAGTCTCAACTTTTTTTTCACTTGTATTGCCGTTCTTTCTTTTTCAGTATCCCCTAGCCGGTCCACATACGGATCAATTATTTTATTTTCTTGGCAGTCAAATTGACTTCTTTCACATTCACAGCCATTCTTACAGACGGACCGGAACATGAAGTCAGTGGAAAACAAAAGTTTTTCTCGTTAGCGTGGGGGAAATTTGGTTAGCGTGGGGGAAAACAGTGGTGTTAATCGGAAAATTCATTGTCTTTTCCTGTATGTGACCATGGAGGTAGACCATGATGTGACATAGCTCCGACTGTGAGAATCGTTGCGAAAAGGCTCACGAACCTGATTTGCATAGTTGGTCAACCATGGTGGCGATTACGTAATCGCTTGTTCGCTTACCCGTGACCTGGCCTACTTAACTTGGGGATTAAAATTAGGTTCTGCCGCTGGCACCCTTTCTATTTTCATAAATATATGAACCGCGTTTTGTGCGAAAAAAAAGTTCAGTGACCATATATTTCTATCTGGGTGTTGTGAAAAACATCATAAAACAAATCTATTTGCCGAACTACACCATTACGATGTGGAATCCAACACAGCCTACCCAATTCTGTAATTGTATTTTCCAAAACATAGTTTCGTGGTACAATGTAGTAGAAATAAGAATTTACCATGTCCAAAATCCGTCAGCGAAACCCAAACAACTATAAATATGTATATACTAGTATTAAAATATGAGTTAACAGGAAATTTGTATAAATCAATAAAACATATGTACAGTAATGTTACAATCAATTCAGGAGCAAAACAGACTATCTGGCGATTACGTATAAACGATCTGTCTGACAGTGATATCTTTGATCCCAGACATGTGACACCCCAACTCTGCAGGAAACTCCGGGCAGCTGTCTTCTCTATACAGATGATACTGTTCTAATATCTGAAACAAAAATGGCTTTCAATTCTGTTTAGATCATCTGGCAGCATATACACGACATTGGAAACTTAAAGTTAATATTCAGAAAACAAAAGTCATGATCTTCAATAAATGCAACTGGCTTTTAAACGATATTCCTTTTGAAGGCAGCGAAATAAACCTGACGAAACATTTAATTATCTCGGAGTCACACTGAGCATGGAGCTCGAATACTCCATGCTCTGAGCTATAATGGAAAATTCAAAGAAGCACTAGTCAATCTAAAAAGAAAAAGATAAAAGGGCCTTATTTTCACTGAAAGTAAAACTAGGATATGAAACAATATATAACTACATTACTTTACCTGTTTGATAAATTAATCCGACCAATCCTAGTAACGGTAGCGATGTCTGGGGCATGAATGCTCGCACAAGTCTGCCATTGAAGGGAATCATAGCAGCTACCTCAGATATTTTCTCGGTGGTACTAAAATATACAAAAATACACAAATAATGGGTATTTATGGAGGATTACGCTGGGCACATTCATAAAACGCATCTAATTAAATATTAGAGTCGTGTATTAAAGCGAGGTGGTCGTCGCGCAGCGCGTGTTCGAATTTCCTGTAAATAAACAATGTATTTGACACGCGTTGTATACGTCGTTATGAGTCCCATATCGAACAGAACGCAGCACCAGTGGCAGATCCAGAGGGGGGGGGCAGGGGGAGGGGGGCATGGCCCCCTTCAAACGCATGTCGATTCATATCATCTGGATTACGCATAGTTTCTCTGCGATTTACGCTCCGTAATATTAAGCGTAGCTTGGCCCCTCCCAATACATTTTGCTGGATCTGCCACTGCGCAGCACGACGACTACCGCCCTTTAACTACCGAAAACGTACTACTCAAAGAAGCAACACATGTGAATAAACAAATACCGTAAACAACAAATAGTTTGTCGAAGCGAAAATCCAACTAACAAAAATATATCAAACTGTAATTATAAACACTGATTCAAAAATTTCAAACGCTCACTTCACGGGGAAAATAAATTAAGAACACAAAAATACGTGACAGATATTGACAATATTGAACTGCCTGAACAGCTAAGGGAACCACAATTCAAAGCAGGAGGGTCGTCTCCTTCGCACTCGCGGGAATTGAGTACCCAAGCGACGATAACAACACACGCTAAAAAGCAACGGCTCATGGGTAGACGCTTGTTTGTAAACAATGACACGCTATGGCCAACTGTCGCATGCGTAGGAGACGATTCCCCCGCTTTAAAAATTGAATCTGCCTGGCACATGAATCCAAAAACGCCGGGTGAAAAGCGAAAGTGTCATCTATATAATACAGCGGAAATACAGATTAACCAAAGTAAGGAACAAAATACAACGTCTGAAGATACGAGAAAACACATAAATAATTTCGGTTCATAGTAAATGTATTTCTATAATGAGTTTTCGCAGTACACAGATCAATACGACACAATTTATAAGACAGCAGCACTTTATAGTAGAAGTATAATTATAAATATATATATTTTTTGATTTGGGCGATTTTGTATTCATATATATTAATATTAAAAGTGATTGTGATAATACTAATTTTCTGCTTTTTAGGTATTGTTGAAGTTAGCCTTATGCAGCCATTGGATTTGATCAAAACAAGGTAAGGGCGCTGACGCTATACAATCTGTAATTTACCAATTCACATTTGTAAAAGCTACAGTACTAATTACTTCATTACAAAATTCTAAAAATAATATGTAATACAGGTATACCACATGATCACAACACGGTGGTCAGGATCACGAAGTATCGTAAACTTGGTATGCTAATGCCACCTAACACAACACTAGCAGCTATACTACTCCAGAAGAAATCTCATTAAAATCTGATGTATCGTACTGCTTGAATTTAATTTTATTTTGACTATATATTTACTATATATTTTTATTATTTTTTGTTTTTACTATTATTACGTACATCTTATTTTGTATTACTTTCGCGATTACCAAAAGTTTAAAAAAACTGCCAGCAAATAAATAATAAAGTAAGTAAAAGAAAGTGTATGATGGGAATGAATAATTTAAAACATATCTTTAAAAAAATGAAGAAAAAAAAAAAAAGTCCAAACTAGGATCATATTTGACATTTTTTTCAAATGAGGGAACATGTGTAATTTCGTATAATTAATTTATATGAAATATGTTTAAATTCCTATTGGACGATTCATGATCTCCTCAGTGTGAAAATGGGGAAATTCTTTTTTTTCGTTCACGCCAGATCAATATAATAGTACATGTATATTCTTATGTCGATTCGCTTCGAAAAAAATAACTATGTGTCACGTTGACATGTGACAGAGCGCCCCCAGTGTCCACGTGCGGCTATTTATTTATTTCATGATGGTGCGCTACGAGACCACAGTGATTGATCGTCGACATATATATTTGACACACGTCATAAGATCACCATATATATGCTTCCCGTAGCGGGGGAGCCTGATTTAAATAATTCACTATAAGACATTTTGCAACACAGAAGCGCGTTTTTCTTCTGTCCTATTGTGACTTATCACTCCCGCACCTTGTAGTACAGAATTTCTAATTTGAGAAGGAGAGTAAAAAACAACAACAATTTAATTTAATAAATCATTATTTTTCTGGCTAATGGCATCAAAGAACGCAATGGATGCTGGGAAAAATCGAACATAAATGAGGCAGAAACTCGAAATACACTCTCTGTGACGACCGTGGCAAGGACACCAGCAAAAACATTCTGAAATGGAAATGGACCCATTTATCCACAGAGCTCACTCATTTGCATTGGTATTTCTAGAAATGTACACTTATTTTGCGAATTTGTTATTATCTCACAATTCGCGTGACTTACTTGATGCAAATCTTAAAACTTTTTCATCTATCATAATAATATTGTGTGATTTTGTTTTCCAACACTGGTTTCCGATTTTCTTGACACCGTACAGATTTCAAATTCAAGGTAGTACAAATGACCCAACAGCGTACAAATCACTGGCAGACTGCTTCCGAACTATTTACAGATTAGAAGGGTAAGTGCAAATGTGCCTGTGAGGGCGCTGTTTGATACTATGCATAGTCAGTTTTGTAATATCCGTAATCACAAATGTAAACCTGCGGGTGATCTAATAAAAGTTGAAGAAAAAAATCACAAAAAGAGCCAATTACTTATATAGGTGAGTTCCTAAATAATTTCGACATCCGACACAGTCGAGTTTAACAAGTATTAATGATGGAATATGTGATAGAAATACTAGTACTGTTGTAACTATGGTGACAGATAAACTTTCAGTAGTTTAAATATTTTGTTTTCCTTTCATAATTTTTAAATATCGTTTATTTCAGTATCACCTCCTTCTACAAGGGCATCTTGCCAGCAATTTTGGCCGAAACGTCCAAGAGGGCCGTCAGATTTTTCACCTTTGAACAGTACAAGAATATTTTCCTTTTCGGAGCCGCTGAACCAAATGTCCTGGTACGTGATGTGGGGAGTCTGTCTATTAACTGAGTAATGTGTTATCGATAAAACATAAAGTGTTCTAGTGTACCTAGCCTATTTATGAGCTAGTAACTGTTACATGCACCATACAGTTCAGGAAATTTGGGTTACTCGTTTGAGACTTTTTCGCACCCGACATTCATTCAACCAGTTTGTAAATTTCAGTCTAATAAAGGGAAAGTGGAGTAAAGGGGTAAAGCTTTATGGCGTCGCCGATTTAATACATCGCGGAAGAAGATGTGAATTCAATATCAACCCTTGAGTGCCAGATATTTTCCCCGCCAACAATTTTTGTGCAAATATGTTCACATTTTGTAAAATTGTCATTAAATTTCATCATCATTTTGGACCATACAGACAGTTGCAAATTTTGCTTTTAGTTTTTGATCACAATGAGTGCAATTTGAAATGACGCCAGTTGAAAACTGTTATTCGGTCGGACAATTCTAACATCTAGTTTCAGTTTTAATTTTAAAACTAACAAACATTTATAAAGATTGAGGGAATGGGTTTGTTGTATCGGGAATACTCCTTTATAAAAAAAAAAATAATTTCCTTTATTTGCAGACGTTTATTACGGCAGGTCTTGGATCAGGTCTAACAGAAGCGTTTATTATCAACCCACTCGAAGTTGTCAAGGTCAAGTTACAAGCTGAAAGGGCAACTATTTTAGCAGAAGTAAAGTATGATTTATTTATTTATAAAGTGAAATTGTTTGTAATTAAAATTAGTATAAAAATTATAAAATTCTAGGTATGGTTATTATGCCTTTTGTATTCACATACTACCACGACGATTGACCAATTTGATCAGGGTAAGCAATTTGTGGCAATACATGCTAGTTTGCCGATGAGAATTATAATTGTACGTTAATACACGAATAACAAACCCAAAATATGAAAAATGCAGTGTATAATTATAGTCTTGCATGTCTTCATACAGCAACAATCGGCCTTTACCGTCGCTCGTATCATTGCCAGAGAACACAGTCTTGGACTTAAAGGCTTGAATAAAGGTTTGACTGCAACGTTGGGAAGACACGGCGCATTCAACTGTGTGTATTTCAGTTTCTATCACAGTGTGAAAGGATGGATCCCCGCTGCGGAGGTGAGGATACTGAATTCATAGTACTATTCAAACTTTAATGTATCTGTCATTTGTTCAAAGCGACTAATGACTACACCATCTGTGATGATATTGATTCTGAGTGCCATTTCCGTCAGCTCCAAATAGTGTTTCAAGAAATTCAGATTTTTTTTTTAGCTCGAATTGAGCTCGAGATTTTTAACACCAACGACACTATTTCAGAACCTAATTTGTTTTCATGAAAACTGACTTGGTTTCTTATATTAATGATTGTAGTTTTAAAAACAAACAAACAAACAAACAAACAAAAAAATTGAAATTGATCATATAATAATACTCATTACACCATTCAGTAAAGACAACAGTGAAATTTAGTGTCCATGATTCTGCTCGGCGTTTGGAACGTGAATAGCGTGGCAAGAACACCAGAACGTACACTAAGTTTGCATGTTATAGTATAATGTCATGAGTATATCAGTAATAACACAGTTGTACTTTCAATGGCCGAAGCCTGGAAATACTACTGCTGGCCTCCGAATCCAGAGTGACCAATTCAGACACACATGGCATTTTCTACATTAAAAAAAAAAATCTGCTTAATCGAAAATGAATTGAACATTAGATTTATATTCACTGTGATATCCCCCGGGGTTTCATTTTATCTTTTTCAACGTAGAATTCTAAACTAGAGTTTTGTCGGAGGTTTGCGATAGGACTCGTCTCAGGAACGTTAGCCACTATGATTAACATACCGTTTGATGTAGCGAAAAGCAGAATACAGGGACCACAGCCTGTGCCTGGTGAAGTCAAATACCGAGCATGTTTTAAAACCATGGCAACCATCTACAGGGAAGAAGGGTATGTATATGATCGATGATGTCGTCTATTGAGTTTTAAAATAATGCGGTCTACCCGACAACTACGACAGAATTGTAGAGTAGAAATACGAGTGAATCGTTTGTTGTTATCTGGCGTACCTAAAAGCTTAGACTACACCCCAACTATCCATGATGATACGTTGTTATGCAAACCGGGGCGTGATGACGAGAAGTATTTAATACTAGTATTTACCAGCACGTTTTTATTTATATACATTCTGACCAATAACGACGTGGAATGCTAAAACTGGAAGCTGTTCTGCAACTATGGCAACAGTCAAGGTTTGACTGTGGTAACATAAACGCTCAATGATTTTTCAGGCATGCAATCAACAACAAAAAAATCAAATGCAATACATGCTTTAAAAAATAGGCAAAGATGAGCTACAGTAATTGACCTGATGCGTTTTTAATCATAATTTTATACTAGTATGTCTAGCAACGTATTTGATGCCGTGTAATGTCTCATAAAGTGTGTGAGTTGATTGCGTGATGTAATTGAAATTTTAATTACACGTAACCCCAGTTGCAAAGCCTTATCTTTATCCGCCCTTGACCCCGTTTCAATTTATTGTTTTCCTCACTGGCATCTAATGGTCACATGGTTGCCATGGTGCCTTTTAGGCCCCTCTGACTATGCAATGACACAATTCAATATATCTTTTGGCAGTGATTATATTTATGTTATTTTTTTTCAGATTTTTTGCGCTGTACAAAGGATTTATACCGAAAGTGATGCGCCTAGGACCGGGTGGTGCCATCGCGATGCTGGTGTTTGAGTATTCATATGAATGGCTGAAAAAAAATACATGATGATACTTGAAGTTGTTCTATACTCAGCGCCGCGGTTGAGCTTGTTGTCGTTGGATTATTACTTCTTAGTACTTGTATATATTTTCAAAGTAGTTCAATTGCAGGGATGAATGGAAATATACATCGAAGTGATACAACTTAATTAAAGTCAATATTACAACGGTGAAAAGGTGAAATACATTCAAGCTCTACAACTTAATTAAAGTTAATATTGCAGCGATGAAAAGGAAATATTCATCGAAGTGATACAACTTAATTAAAGTTAATATTGCTGCAATAAAAATGACTTATACATCAAATTAATACAACCTCATTAACTTTAATTTACATGTCTGTCACATATTTATAGACGTATTTTTTTTGGTTTCAGAAGCTTCAAATAAATAAATAAATAAATTGAATATGTAAATGTTTAAATCTATTTATTTGAAGCGGGGGAGTCGTCACCCGCGCATGCGTCAGATGGCCATAGCGTGCCAAGAGCACGAGCATTTGCGTTTTTATCGTCGCTTGGGTGTTTGGCTTACACTGAATCACCTCAAATATTGTGGTTTTTCATATCTTCAACGTAAAACAAATCTGATATTCTCTTTTCTACACGCCGCTGTAGACGATATACCATACACTATGTTTCTTGTTTTTCATTACATGCTGTGTTCAAGTTTTACGTAAACTGACGACTTGTAGTACAATGTAACTACAAGTTACCGTATCATTTAGACTGTCGACAGTCGGTCGTACCTATTATTAATCTGTTATTATTAATAAATATTGTGTTTAAACGTAATTGGCGTGAATAAATTGCGAACGCCAGGACAGGAAGTATGGAGTGCCGTTCCGCAAGATTTATTACCGTTAAAGGGGCACCTTCCAGTTAGGCTTAATTTCACAACAAATTTACTTTCTGGATTAAAATAACAATGGATAACAAAAGATAGATGAACATTGTAAACAACATAAACAATAGTGTCCCATGATTCTTTGGTGCAATCCATGGGATTGAGCGGTTCCCCTTTAAGTAAGATTTCTTACCAGATCCGGGTACTTTCAAATGCAAATGAAATAGTCGCGATGATGTCTGTCATTTTATCGTAGCCAATCGTGAAAAAGGTCAGGGTTTGCTTGATACTCGGATCGCCCACGAGTTACGCGAAGTTTGTTTTGACTGTACTATACGCGACTGCGACACCTCCCACAGTAGACGAATTTCTACAATGTAAATTGTAATAGCAGTTTTTGATATCATAACACAAACAAATCTTGACGAAATGCTTCGCATTTCATATCAAGCGCCTTTGGCGTTTGAATGTTTAGGATGCACAATAGGCCCGAGGACAGTCGACAGTCTACGTATCATAATCAGAAATGATATTCCACGCTCAAAATATATTTTATAAACTGATGCACTGTTAATGTAACTTTAGCTAAAAAGTATGTAATTACCGGGTTCAAGCCATGGCGCCTGCTCCGGCCAGCAAACTGTCTCCACCCTCTATTAATACGTCAAGAGGGGTTGTTCAAATAGAAGGGAAAATTCGTCAAAATTATTTATTTCAAGAGTGCAGTCGGCGTTTTGCCCAGTTATTATTGTTTTGAAAAAAAAAAAACTGTTTTGAAAAAAAATCGTGACAACCATCAGTACTTAGAATCTTATAACTACTTTATTTTTCAATATACATGTAATAACCCTTTTACTTTTAACACCAAATGGTAAATGACTCATGGATGTTTACCCTTCCTTGGTGCGAAAAATCAGTTGGGTTTACCATATATTTTTTTTTATCAGTGCTTTGCGAAGAACTACAGCCCCGTAAACTGTAGTAGCTTGTTATGCACGCAGGCGCAGTTGTGACGACCGTACAAATAAAATACTTCCGGAAAAGCGAATGACCTCCCGACCTAGGTATAGACCTCCATGATATAGACGGCTTGTGGTTGCAGTTACTTTATGAACTCGCGCTGCACTGTGTCATAATTAGGCCAGTTTTAGTTGACGACACATGCATAGAAGCGAAGAAGGTACACCACGATGACAGAAAGCAAGGCTAAACAGGCTGCTCAACAACTTGCCGCTGGAGGACTCGCCGGTAAGCATGTACACCATTCCCTCTATCATAGATCATAGGCCAGCTGTGTTTTGAATAGCTGTGGTTCTGTCCGAGGGTTCTGTCGCTCAAAACTGTGGTAGACGGCTGATCTTTACTTATCTGATCTGTTCTTAATCTAATGTCGATAGTCGCTATATCGCCTCCATGCATCTACACAGTGTACACACCGAATAACAATAAAGTAAAGACCGACACAGAAGGGCAATGAACCGCAATTAAACTAGAGCATGGTTTGGGTGAAATGCGAATACATCCAACAAATCGTCAATACTGACCAACATATCCCATGAATTTCTATTTAATATATATCTATGATTAAATGTTGATTTAGTTTTAACACTTTTCGCGCCATACTCTGAACCCCCCCCCCCCCCCCTTCTTGCTGCAGTTTATGCAGCTCTCTTAGTCGTGGTATACGTTGCGGGGCGACCAGAGTAATATGGCCGCAGCGTAATATCAAAATAGCTTAAGCAGCCAATAAGAGCTGCTAAACTGCAGCAACCCCCTATCTTACTATATATATACTATATGACATATATTACCACTGCAACCAAGCAAACTTTGATTTTGAACATGGAACATTTTGTACGTCCTAGGCTAGCTGTGCTTAGTGTGTTCTGAAGTAGGATTCAAAATCTTGTTGATTGGCGTAATTTTAAGTTGTTGTGATACAAAATTAGTTAGCCGCTGAACGACAAGTTCTGATACGTATAACTCATAAACGGCATAACAACTGATTTGCATCCAGCAATACAGCAGATATACAACTTTATTGCATTCTATTTGATAGGCATTGTTGAAGTTAGTCTGATGCATCCGTTGGATTTGATTAAAACCAGGTAAGGACATCGAGAAATCTAAAATGCACCACTACACATCACCAGAATGCCTCGTTTGGTACAATTCCATTAGCAAACATGCATTTTATGTCAGATTTTGCCAATTGACGTCAATATATGTGCCTTGGTGCACTCAGTACATGTAAAATGTAAAAAAAAGATCATATTAGAATTATGCTACTGTTTTTATGTAAAAACCTTTCCTGGTATGGCATTTACTTTAGCACATGCTATTTTATACAGAAATGACTTCTTAGTGTGATTGTACTTTATTTGCAATATAGAAGCATGTTTGATTTTCCTTAGTTGTACTTTCAGGTCAGTCTCTCTTGCATCTTGATTACTTGTATCAGTAAAACTCATTCGACAGTGATGGGTCATAATTATCATGTCTCTATCAAAAGCAAAAGCATAGTTTTTATTTCCAACACTTGTTTCTGATTTTTCCGACACCGTACAGATTTCAAATTCAAGGTGGTGCAAATGATCCAACCGCGTACAAATCGCTGGCTGACTGCTTCCGAACTATATACAGGTCAGAAGGGTAAGTGCAGAGTTGCATGTGAGGACGCTGTTTATTGTTGTTTTATACCTTGAGGCTGGCCACAATCTATCAGTAATCTATTTGCTGTTTATTAGAGGTATGGTCAGTTATATATGATGTGTGTATGTATATGTTCATGTCACATGACAAATGAGTGACAGTTGTTAATTATTCATGCCCAATCAATATGCTGTAGTATTCATATTTATATATCGTATTTGCTCTATTGGAAGTGCATCTCTGATAGAAGTACACTTTTTGCATTCTGTATAACTTGTTTTGACCATAGAAATACCTCTGTAATTTATGTGAGTGCATGATGATACTAATAGAGCAAATACAGTATACTGTAGAATACTTTATTTTTCTTTGGAATTAATTTTTCCCTGAAGGAACGATTAAGTGAAAATACAATCCAGCGAATATACTGTTGTTCCTGTATTTTATATTCAACTCGTCAAAAATCAAGGAAAATAAGCTCCATACAAAACACCCAAAATGTCTTTTTAGTGGGAATTAATTGCACCTAAAATAAAATATTTTAGGTTAATCAATACTGTAATATTCATACTCACAAATATCCATTTTTCGGTAACGAAACAACAAAAGTTGAAGAAAAAAACAATTTGTTTTTAACAGTTAACCTCGCAAAAAACTTATTTCCTGATAAAAAAAATATGGTACTGGTTATTATAAAATATGCAAATAGCAGGTGACCCAGATAGAGAACCCACTGTAACTATTGACTACTGATAAATGTAGTTATATTTCTTATAATTGTGTTTACCTTTGATTGTATTTGTGTAACTTTGAAAAAAACAAAAAAAACAATTCTTTTCAGGATCGCCTCTTTCTACAAGGGTATCTTGCCACCAATTATGGCTGAAACACCCAAAAGAGCTGTCAAGTTTTTCACCTTTGAGCAATACAAGAAAATATTCCTTTTTGGAGCAGTGGAGCCGAACGCCCTGGTACGTGGTGTCGAGAGCTTAAGTGACTCATGATAAATTATGTCCGTATTTGTTATAAGAAAAGTAATATTTACGAACTTTCCTGCTTGATGGTCGATGTTTCTTATAAGCCATAAACATTTTTAAAATGTCTTATTTTATGGGATTCAACTATCAAAGCTGAAAGAAGGAAAAATAAAAATATCATAACAATTCTTAATATGTCATGATTGATCCAATTTGAAAAAAAGGAAAGTAAAAATTCACATTTATCAGATTTTCTTTTTTTTTTTGCAGACGTTTACTTTGGCAGGACTGGGTTCAGGTCTGACAGAAGCGTTTGTTATCAACCCATTTGAAGTTGTCAAGGTTAAACTGCAAGCTGAAAGGGCAACCGTTCTAGCAGAGGTAAAGTAATCCTATGTATAAATTGTTAACTATGAGGGCAGTGTAGGGATTCTGTTTTCTATTTTGTTGTGATATATAAGCACATGTGGCTGATGCATTTCATTATTTAGTTTAGAGAACGCTATAAAAACAAGTGGGCAAACGGTACTGATATGTACTAACTCGGTCCTGCATCTGAGAATGCAGTCACTGGTCAGGGGTATACAGAAGCATGTCATTGTTATAGCTCAGTCATTGTTAACCTGTGATACACTGCACACATTTAGCCGAATAGTGCCCCCCTCAAAAATGGTTTGATGTAACAATAAGTAATAATTACATAACAATCTTGGGATGTTCAAACCATGTAGTATGCAACTTAGCTGATGATTAATGTTGTTGTTTTGGTGGTCCAAACACTATCATGGTTTCAGTAAATTTAACAAAAACCTGAAAACAATTGTGTCTTGCCCTTGTACCAAATTGAAACCAAATTGGTAAAAGTTTATTCCAATAGTGGATAGGATACGTGAGAAAAAGTTGAGTGGCCTTCAATTGACCATTTTGAATCAAAACAAAATGACGTGAGTGTTGTCAATATCAAGTTTGAAAAAAAAAATGTGCCTAGGATTGCCTAAAGATTGGTTGGCAACATTAACATATCTTTTAGTGTGTTTTTTGATCAAACAAAAAGCAATTTTACGGGTTTATATAGAATATTCTGTCTTATCTTTGTAAAAACTGAAGAAAATAATCGGTGCATGCCTGAGAAATGACGATTGATGAACAGAACCCAAAAAAAATAGGTACCAGTTTTGAATTACATTGGATGGAGGCTTAAAAGGTGAGGTAGAGGAACATTGAAATGTTTTATTAAATTGTTTCCTATTGTTTATCTACCTCAGCAACCGTCAGCCTTTGCCACAGCTCGAATCATTGTTAGAGAGAACGGTTTTGGATTGAAAGGTTTAAATAAAGGTTTAACTGCAACATTGGGAAGACATGGTGTATTCAACTGTGTGTATTTCAGTTTCTACCACAATGTGAAAGGATGGATCCCCGCTGCAGAGGTAAGAATAATGAATTTATGGTCTTTCTTTCTTTCTTCCTCATTTTGCTGAGGCAGACCAATGAGAACAGGAGAAAATAACATTTAAAATGGTTATCAAACTAGCTGACGACCTGAATTGAGGTGCACAATGTTATGTACCGGTACTATTCAAGCAACATTTCGGCTCAATTTGTTCAAACGATTTTGAGGAGAAGTCACTCAAAGGATCTGATTATGATGCATTGTGGTTAATTTTTTTTTAGAATGTAGCTGGGCTAAAAATATGCATATATGTTTTATCAAGAATCTATCGAGAAGTGTGTTCTGGCACTTTACTAGCTTATGAAAGTGACTCCATTCTGTATGCCTCAATCAAACCAATATATAACCAATAGCATCACAGAACACAGTGGATGCTGGCATATCACACCGCTTGCATACCTCTATCTTTTGTGTTTTTATTTACTCAGGATCCTAAACTAGAATTTTGTCGGAAGTTCGCGATCGGCCTCGTCTCAGGTACATTATCTTCTGTCATGAATATACCGTTTGATGTAGCGAAAAGTCGAATACAGGGACCACAGCCTGTCCCTGGAGAAATTAAATACCGAACATGTTTTAAAACCATGGCAACTGTGTACAGGGAAGAAGGGTATGTATGATCAAAGATGGTATTGGTATCTTTTTAATAAAGGCATACATAAATTCATTATGATTTTTTTTCAGCAACCAAACCAAAACAAAACAACCATTTAGCAAGTATCAGTGTTTTGTTCAGACAATAATCTTTGTTGAGGTTCACATTTGATTCATTTCACACACTCGTGGGATATCATGGTTATTTCATTTGCATTATGACATCGCAAATGTGACAAATTAGAATGATTCCTGATCTACGATTTTATAGTAAACAGTGTAATTTATTTAAATGCTGTTACTTTGCTACATCTTCATGAATCAAATAATCAAAACATGAGGACTGTGTCATCTATTCCAACTTTGTAGAGAAGCAAATTCAATTTTTTTGGAATAGTAAGTACCGTATGTATGTACATTGTATATTGAATGAACTGGTTCATATTTCTGCATTCCAAGAGATTTTGTAAAAGTGATCATGTTTCTGTATTTTTTTCAGGTTCTTCGCTCTATACAAAGGACTTTTACCGAAAGTAATGCGTCTAGGACCTGGTGGTGCTATTATGCTGCTGGTGTTTGAATATTCATATGAATGGCTGAAAAAAAATACATGATGATATTTTATAGTATTTTATATGTATTTTTGCCAATGTTTTATTTAAAGTTTTTGAAAATTGGAGTAATCTGTACCATTTACCAAATGCACCTGCTATGGTATTCGCAAGATATGCAGATCATAATCTTTTTGTCAATATCCCCAAATCACAGAGCATTCACATAATAATTTTTGTGATTGTGTTCTAAAATTTTACGGGACTTTACAAATCGTAGAATCGCTTTTGAAGATGATAATATCTCAAAAACAAAATTTTAAAAAGTACACCACACTCTTGCTGTGTTTCCAGTACAACCTTACATAATTCACAGAATTTTACTCATGGAAACTACTAACTACGAAATTACTAACATCAAATATCACATACCACTTAGGTTAGTTGTTTTTAGCATGCACCAGGTTATGCAGTATATATAACTGGATATAATAGTGTAATGTAAATAATAATAACCTAGTGAAATATGCCATAACATTGTCATTCGTTTTTTGTCCCAAGTTTATAGTCAACGTTTAAAGGGTTTTCAAAAAATGTTTCTGACAATACAACTTTAAGATTTGCACTGTGAAATTTACCAACCATTTCAATCACATGACCATGGTGCTTATTATTCACATAGAACAGGCTAATATGCATGATGAACGTCATCAGTCTGTGCATGCTCCAGTAGTATGCAGAGAGTACAAAACGTGCGATGATGCGGTTTTTATCATTCCAATATGAGTATTTCAGACTGGATAACAACAATTACTCAAATGATGATGAAATGACAATAAATCGTGATGATATCAACTTATTAATAAAAATATTGAAGGGAAGGAAAGAAAGCTAATACTTCTGCCAATTTCGAAAACCATCGACAGCTGTAACGGCAAGTGCCTAATTAGCATAAATTAGCATATCATTCGTAAGCATAGTTTCCTAAAATCAAGGTTTGACACTTGGAGTTGGTCATGTGATGAAAAGGTCATCATGATATCACTAATTCATAGACCTGGGTGATATTCGTGCTATCCTGGGCTGTATTTACCACTCGCCATTACCATTCATGAAGTCACTTCTACCAGCTCTATGAACACGTGATCCCCTCATGTGAATATCTTGAACATATTTTTGATAAATTCTTCATAATAATTGTCTAGTTTTAAAATATCCTAAAATCCTACAATTTGTGTATATTTTTAAAATGCAGTACTTGTATTGCTCTATTAATAGCACATGGACTTAGGTAAATGACTGAGTTGTGTCTATGATCAAAAAAGTCGTATTTTCAATAAATTGAATTATTGGTTTATGTGCATTTCTATTGGAAACGCCCTTTACTAATAGAGCAAATATGGTAGTTTTATTACAGCTGTGAATCAAAATTAAACTCCAAAGCTCCCGTTTGAGTACAGAATATATGCAATCATTGTTGTTATAAAAAGATTTATCTAGGAAATGAAAATTGCCAACATTTAGTAAAGGAGCAATGTCAGAGGTTAGGATCAACCGTCAGCAGATGTTCAGCACAATATACAGCAAATTTGGCTTGCACAAAAAAGTTTTTAGATTTTCTTACACACCTCACCTCCAACCTACACCCCTCTGGTACTGTAAATTGCCTAATTCTCATTGCTAGGAATTTACGCAATCTAATAATTTCGAAGACAACATTTTGGGAAAGCTGTTGACACTTTGTTGTAGAACCCCAAATGAATTTTTTCACAGCTACAAAATGTCACGATTTACACTGTTTAAAGCAGTTTATAATATTTAACATGTATGCCTCACAATTGCGAATGTTTTTTTAGTGACAATTAAAATATCTGATTTTACTATAAATAAATCGATTTGGAAAGGTTTTAATTTATTTAAAATGTTTACCTCATCCCATAGAAAATCTTTTGCCTATAACCTGAATTGCAAGAATTTGCTCATCACAACTTGGATTTTTCATTCCTTTAATATTGTGCCTTATCTGAAGTAATATTTCACTGTGAATGATTTGTACCATGACTGTTTTGAATTGGTCAATGGATATTTTGAAATTTCTTTAGGTATACACCGTAATTTTGCATTGTATATTCAATCAAAATACTGACATTGTTTGAAAGCAAAGATTTGATTGGCCAAAACATGTTACAGTCATGGTACAAATTAGTTAAATCATGGTAAATATTCACATTCAAATGAAAAGGAAATGTACATCGAAGTGACTTAAATTTAATTAAGTTAATATTTCTCCAATAAAATAGAAATGTACATTGGAGTGATACAACTTAATTAATTTAAATTATATTTAGTATTATGTCTGCCACATATTTATGAATGTATTTTTAGTTACAAAAGACTTTAAATAAATAATTTGAATATGGAAATGTTTGACCTATTTATTTTAACATGTTTGCCACCATGGATGGAATAATATTGATTATAACAGATCTGATCATTACATGGCAAATAGCTCAATCGTAATGTTGTTGTAACTGGAAACGTGTACTGCTGCATATTTTTTACTCATCTGTGTTGGTTGAAATGTTACAGCAGATTGCTTTCACATATCATTGTTTAGGATGACTAAATTGGCACGCGTTTCAAATAATCATTAAATCACACTGTCAATCAGGAAATAAGTTTAGAACATCTTGAGATGCTTTAGTCATTGCAGCAACGCCACTTTTTAGCTCTGTTGTCGACTTTGTCGAGCGGAGCTTATCATATGAGTGATTGTCCGTCGTCGTCCGTGTCAATGTTTTACTTTTTCGACTTCTTCTTGAAAACTACAAGCCTGAATGCGTTGATACTTGGTGTATATACTTTGGGTAGACCTCTCTCAGATTTGTTCATTTCATGATCATATCTTCAATTCTTTAATTTTGGTGAATATTTTTGTCATTTTTGGTAAAAAGTGACATTTTCGACTTCTTGTTAAAAACCGCAAGTCCAATTGCTTTCATATTACATATATAGGTACTACATGTGGACCTCTCTCAGATTTGTTCATTTTGTAATGATATCTTTAATTCTCTAATTTTTGTGAATGTTTTTGTCATTTTTGGTAAAAAGTGATATTTTCGACTTCTTGTTAAAAACCGCAAGTCCGATTGCTTTTATATTATATATCACAGTCCCTCTATATATAGGTACTACATGTGGACCTCTTTCAGATTTGTTAATTTCGTGGTGATATCTTCAATTATCTAATTTTGATGATTATTTTTGTCATTTTTGGTGAAAAGTGATATTTTTGAATTCTTGTTAAAAACAGCAAGTCTACATATTGTTCATTTTCTAATGATATCTTCTGTTCTTTAATTGAAATGTGCACTGGTAACAGCGGAGCTATCTCAGCCGACAGGCTGCTTGTTATCTATTGATATGCAAATTGGTGTATATCTTTGTTTCATTTCTGACATAAAAATGATCAACCAAATGAGTATACTTAACAAGTACTCATCGGGTCTTTCCACTTTTTCAGAGATTGTAGGTGTGGTATATGTGAACAATCCCTCGTCGATTTCAGTTAAATTTACGCATCCTAAAGATTTCACGATATGAATGTAAAAGAAAAACGTTTGGAAAAATCGCTGCGATTATGTTGCTCATGTTTTATTGTACATTTTGCGTGTAGATCAAATTTAATTATTTATTTATTTACTTAGCATTCACGTGAAGATTGCATCCAACGAAAAATTAATTTTTAATTGGTGTTTTTTTCATAAAATAAATACGTTTAATATGATACAAAACAATTCTTCTATGAAAATAATCAGTGTGAATTTCACTTCCTGAAAACTTCAAATTTAAATGAGAGCTGAAGATCAGTATTTATATTTTTATACAAATACGTGTATGAGCTCAGACACGAGTGCATGCACTTCACTGTAAATACTATCGTGTTTGACTTTTGTACATTTCTATACGTATATACAAAAATCTAAGAACTTGTTTCGTGGTAGCATTTCATGGAAATTGACACCTTATTTCCATAATAACAATTTAATACTGTATATTTTAATGGACAGGTATGTAATGTTACATAATATTAGTAAAGTAATGTATTTAAGTAACTACAGTGTCCAAGCCATCTCCATGTCTCCAGTCGGCGAACTTTCCACTCAATAATACGGCAAGGGTCTGAGGATTTGTTAGGGAAGTGCAAGCCTCGTGGGCATTCGACCTAAAAAAGTAGAGGGAATTTATCACTATTATTTATTTCAAAAGTGTTTCAGAGTTATTGATTTAGATAAAAAGTTTTAAAGAAAAACGTTCTGAGAAATGTGCAGAAATGAACTATTTATTTTTTTTCTGTTTATTTTACATTCCGTGTCCATAGAATCCAATTCATTGACCAGCTGGGAAAAGAAAACGGATGACTATACAAGTTTTGTCTGATAATTTTGGATATTTCGCTTGTCATGACAATTGTTTGTTTTTTTGCGTATGGTGTGCGATTTATGATGCAGTAGCGAATAGTTTTAAATGGCAATCATTATTACACTCCACAAACACTCGTATATTACGTGACCTGTGTACTTTTATTTTTAAGGCACTACATATAACAAAAACATTCATCATGATTATCCTTTCTGTAATTTTCACAGTGTTTTAATGTAATTGAATATTTGTAAATATTTATTTCTAACATATTTAGTGTCATAGTTTGTGTATGGACCGGAGTCTTTGTAATACAGTAGCGTTTCGAAGAAATGTAAGAACTAAAGCTTAAACTTAGATAATTGCTTGAATGTTCAGGCACACTTGTATGATAGATTGTCACAGTAATAAAATGTTTTCAGGGTATGTATAAATCACTATAACGTTATCGCAAATACAAATGACGGAAATCAATTTTAGCCAATACTCAACTTACAGTGAAAGTATTACTCTGTACCCACATTGTTTATTATTCACTATAGTTTAAAAGTTTTTTGGATTGCAACTTTTTTGAAAAGTATTTGTTTGCTAAAGGGCCTTGCAACAAAATGTGCAATAACTTGAAAACTATTATACATATTGTTTTATGCGTGTAGCAAATCAGAGTAATACTGTCGCTTGAAGTTGAGTACTGGTCAAAAGGCGCAGGTATATTTGGAATTCACCCAACCCGAGATTCTAAAAATAAAATATATACTTAAGTACTAGCTATATTGCCCTCATATTAAGGTGAATAAATCAACTCAAATTTGACTTTTGAGCAAATTACATTTCTTTCAGAGCTAATGCTGGGGAAATCCTGCCTGTCGCAGTTTTTTTTTTTTTTGTATTGACCAACTTCCATACACCTAGGTTTAACTGGCAACAACACACAAACTAAACAATCAATATGAACAATCGTATTTTTTAATTTTATTTTGAGCACACGTACTAATTTCATTTTGTATGATTTAGTTGGTATTGGGAGGGGGGGGGGAGTATTTAATTTTTCCACCGAAAATTCCATTACGATTTCAGTCACGGTCGACTGGTCGGGCGGCTTTACGTCGTTTCGGCAGAATTCTATAAATTCTGGACAAATTCGTGAGAGAAAAGAAAAATAAACGTCTGGTTGACCGCCGTCACGGGAAACATAACGTATTTTTTCAACTAAAATATAACAAATATAACAAATAACACCCTCCAAACCAACAGAATATTAACGACCGTTACCCCAGTTTCGATAACTCAATATGAGGTCGAAACTGAATAGGGGCCTCCACATGGGTAAAAAACGAAGTGCGAAGTAACCGTTTCAAAAGGTTTAAGAATCGAAGTGATGCTTTTTAAAAACTGTAAAAAACGAGGGAAAATCTTATAAAAATTGTAAAAGTGACCTGTTTGAGTTATAGAAAGTGAATATCGATGTGATTATTTTATAAAATTAGGAAACTGAAGTGAATTTCTTATAAATATGGAAGCGAGACAAATATCATACATGGCATACATTGCCGAACATCGCCGAATCTTGCGCAACAGAATCTGGCTTGGTAATAAAAGGGACTAAAAGC